TGCCCATCCCCTGGAAGACGCCAGGTCAGTGAGGGAGACTATTACACAGTTCACATACCACATGAGAAAGGATGGAGTTTCCTGAAGGATTTTGTGGAGAAAACATGATCTAGGTGAGCCCCGTGGAGTTTTGGTCACTCAGAAACCTGGTATTCTCAAGTCCATTTAGAAAGAAACAATATGTGTAATAGAAAAAACCATGTATGTAAAGGGCCAGGAAAACTAGCTTACTCTTTACTGTCTCTCTACCACCTTGTGATGTGTCAGCTTCCATTTCTTTTTTTTTTTTTTTTTATTTTTAATGAGGCATGTTTATTTATTTGTTTGTTTGTTTGTTTTATTTATACATGCACTGGGTACAGTCAGAAGCGCGGGAGGGTGAGAGAATTCACCAGAGCCAGAGCGGGGAGCAGAGCAGGCAGAAGGACCGAAGTACACTGCTGAGGGGAGCAGCAGGCGGCAGGAGAGGTCTGCGCGCCATGCGGGACCCTCCTCCGGTGGCCGGGGAGCAGCCGGGGATCGAACCGGCGCCGCAGAGGCCGCGGACAGCTTCGCAACCCAGCGCTCAACCGCTGCGCCACCGGGGAGGCCCAGCTTCCATTTCTTATCTATAAAACGGGATGATAATATTTATCCTGCCAACTCATGAGGTCCTATTGGGAGTGACAGGAGCGAGTGACCCAGCAGGACACATTGGTTTTGTGAATATTACTTCACTTTCCCATGATGTAATGTGGGTTGGCATTTACTCAGTCATTAATAATTCATTCAGGTATTCATTCAGCAAACATTTGTTAAGATCCTGGGTTAAGTGCTGCATTTGACTCAGTTCCACCCTCTGGCAATATGGCATTCTGAGTCTCTAGATGCGCTTAATTTTCCTGCTAGGACTATCCTGCTTCAGGATAGTCCTCTATCCCCTCGTTCAGTCCAGGGGTCACTTTACTTCTGGAGTCACCTGGGAGGGAGGCACAGGTAGAAGAGTGTCCATGAGAACTGTTGGCTTCTACATACTTTGGTGTTTCATAGACTAGTTTAACGTCTGGGAAAACCAAGTAATTATCTTACGGAATTGTTGCCAAATCGTTTATAATTCCTTTTAAAACTCAGGGCCTCCCTGGTGGTACAGGGGCTAAGTCTCAGCACAATCAAGCTATCATGGCACGAGTTCGATCCCAGGCTGGGGAGCTGACCCACATGACGCGGAAGACCTCGCCTGTCTCACCCTCTGCTCCCCTCAGCTGTGTATTTCAGTAGATCCACCTGTTCTGCTCCCCACTGTCTCTGGTGAATCCTCTCACCACCACCTCCCACCCCACACCTCTGGCCTGCACCCCAGTTCCTGTATGCATAAATAAATAAATCTTAAAAAAAATTTCCATGACCATCATTAAAAAAAAAACCCATCTTGCCGATTTTACTAGTCAAAAATGTAGCTATTAAATGAAATTTTACATCAGACTAGATAGGAAAATATTTTGTAAGTACTCTTTTTTGTGTCACTTTTATATTTTTATGTCAGAACTAGTTTTCATTGTATGTTTAGAATACTTGTGGAGGGTCTCCCCAGTGGCGCAGTGGGTTGAGTGCAGCGCTGTGAAGCTGTCCGCAGCCTCTGCAGCGCTGGTTCGATTCCCGGCCAGCCAGGGAGATTCCCACATGGCAGGGCAGACCTCTCCTGCCTCATCTGCTGCTCCCCTCAGCAGTGTACTTCGGTCCTTCTGCCTGTTCTGCTCCCTGCTCTGTCTCTGGTGAATTCTCTCACTCTCCCGAGCCCCTGGCCTATATCCCAGTGCTTGTATAAATAAATAAAATCTTTTAAAAAAAAATCTGCCTTGCTTAAAGAAAAAAAAAAAAAAAGAATACTTGGGGGGAGGACTTTTCTACAGGCCAAATGGAATTGGCTAAAAATCTTCAAGAGTAAAAGATGATCCCAAATTACTTTCTAACTTCTAGAATTTCTATTTATTTTATTTTGGTCCCAAGACACTTGATAAACACTGGGATAGTGGACAGTTGAGCCCAGTGATAATGTGCTGTCGTTCTGTATCATTACACAACATTAAAATTTTCCCAGTTTAGCTGCTCATAAAAACCAGGCAGCATCAGTTGTCCCTCAAGAATATGGTGGTGATTTCTTTTAGTCTCCAGAAGTTAACACTCTGATTCTGCTGCACTTAAAAATAAAAAATAGTTTTTTTTAAACTGATCATCAGTTATCTCTGACAAAAGACGCTTATGAAAATTGGGGTGTTTCCAGTAATGCCAACTCCAGCTAATGGGCAACTGAGCCATGTGGTGTGAAGATTATTTTTATCAACAAATATTATGAAATTAAAATGCCAGTGCCTGTCCCATGTAGAGCTTTAAAAATATATAAAAACAAGGGCCTCCCCAGTGGTGCAGCGGGTTGAGCGCAGCGCTGTGAAACTGTCCACAGCCTCTGCAGTGTGGGATCGATTCCTGGCCGGCCAGGGAGAAACCCACATGGCATGATAGACTTCTCCTGACTCGCCCGCTGCTCCCCTCAGCAGTGTCTTTGGTTTGTCTGCCTGTTCAACTACCTGCTCTGTCTCTGGTGAATTCTCTCACCCTCCCGTGCCTCTGGCCTGTACCCCACTTCTTGTATAAATAAATAAAATCTTTTAAAAAATAAAAATAAAAAATAAAAAAATAAAAATGTATATACAAAACTGCATATATGTGTGTATGTATGTATCACACATATAAGCAAAAATGCAATCATGGACTAACAGCTGTACCTCCACCCCTGGAATTTATATGTAGGGTGGTGGACTTAAGCTCTAGCTAACTTGAGACCGAGACTGAAAACTGGACCATCACATCACTCTGGAGCTCAGTGGAGGTGCAGAGCCTACTTCCAGCTTGTGCACCCCCTACTCCCGAACCCTCCCCCCCCTTCCTTTGCTCTCCTGACTCAGCAGGGCAGGCTCTGAGCATCTCCCATTGGTTTTACCTGGGCATGGAGTCTTTCTTCTCCTGTCTAAATGGCACTGATAAGTCTCCCAAGTTTTAAGATGACGCCCCCAAATACAATTGCTTTTCACTTCCATTGACTCTCTACTGTGCTTTGTTCTGCAAAGCAAAAATAAAAAGCATTAGTGGTTCTTTGCTGCTGTGTTCTCCCTCCTTCAGCATTGCCTCTAGATTTTCAGATGGATAAATCTCGAATGGACTAAGGCATCCCTTAGCCTCTGCTAAAGCACGCTTCTCCTCATTTCCTCCTTCCTCTCAATCAGTGCTGCTCCCTACAGAGGCTTTTCTGAATACATTAGACTTTGTCCTTAGCAAGATGGACAAGAGCTTAGATAAAAACAAGCAGCGCCAGGTCTTTGTCCCTGCCTGGACCAGAAGGGCAGCCAACCGGTACTCAGCTACTCTGTCCGGGTGCTTCTCATTCCCCTCCCTATTTTAGTACTGCTCCCTCTGCGCGTGTGCCTCTAGCCCCCAGATGCACGTCTAGTTTTACATAAGCTGCCATCCGGAACAGCTGGACTTGCTTTATAGAGTCACTTCTTTTTTTTCTGTCCCAATCTCAGTTGTGGGGCTCTTGCTTTAGCATGTGTCTTTACATGGTCCTCAGTTTCTTTTCTTTTCTTTTCTTTTTTTTTCAAAGATTTATTTATTTATTTATACAAGCACTGGGTACAGTCAGAAGCGCGGGAGGGTGAGAAAATTCACCAGAGCCAGAGCGGGGAGCAGACCAGGCAGAAGGACCAAAGTACACTGCTGAGGGGAGCAGCGGGCGGCAGGAGAGGTCTGCGCGCCATGTGGGACCCTCCTCCAGTGGCCGGGGAGCAGCCGGGGATTGAACCTGCGCTGCAGAGGCTGGGGGCAGCTTTGCAGCCCAGTGCTCAACCACTGCGCCACCAGCGAGGCCCGGTCCTCAGTTTCTTATCTTGCTCGCTTCCAGCACTTTGTTTATCAAATGTTTTCAATGAATTAAAGTTTCCTCTTGAGAGACCTTGGCCTTACCCCCATCACTTTTTTTTTATTATTTCTCTTTTTTTTAATGATTTATTTATTTATTCATTTATATAAGCACTGGGTACAGTCAGAAGTGCGGGAGGGTACAGTCAGAAGTGCGGGAGGGTGAGAATTCACCAGAGACAGAGTGGGGAACAGAAAAGGCAGACTGACTGAAATACACTGCTGAGGGGAGCAGTAGGCGGCAGGAGAGGTCTGCACACCATGTGGGACCCTTCCCCGGTGGCCGGGGATCGAACTAGCGCTGCAGAGGCTGCCAGCAGCTTCGCAATCCAGTGCTGAACCGCTGTGCCACCCGGGAGCCCCCACATCACCTTTTAAAAAGAATTTATAAACTGAGCATTTTAGAATTATTTCTTTTCCCGATCTGTGCCTTTTAACTGGCTGTTACTCAGACATCAGTGGGAGAACCAAAGGCTAAACACGTTCCTTCTTCCCCCGAGTCCACCCACCCCTTCCCTGGCCCCTGGCCAGCAGATGCCAAGTCTCCATACCAGAGGCATGCCTGTTTCAGAGATCCATGTGGCTCATTTCCTCCACAGTGTGGAGGAAATCCAGTATCTGCTACTTTTAGAACATTTGTGCCCTGATGCTTTTTTAATCCAGTGAAAACCCGGTACCCAGGTTTCTTCTAAGAGTTGGGATTTTGACAAAACTCTAAAGTAAGGCCATCTCCTATTGCATATCCTTGATTAGAATACTAGTTTATATTATGATGTCTGGTGGAATCTAAGTATATTTTAATCATGTTAATATGCAGCTTTGACTTAGTAAGAGAAGTTTGACATTTGCCTAAAAATGTGATTTTACAAAGACTTTATTGATCTAGAAGGAAAGTTTAGTAGTCTATGGATTAGTCATGGGGAGGACGGTGTTCTCATTTAATTATCATTGTAAAACAATGCATTCTCAAGTTTAGTGCAGAAGTCTGAATCATTCGCTTACAGAAACTTGGAAGTCTAATCTTCTACATTTTTATAATTTATTTTTAGGTACCAAAGGAAGAAATAAAGGAGAATTCACAAATCTTCAAGGAGTAGCTGCATCCACTAGTGGGAAGATACTGATTGCAGATAGTAACAACCAATGTGTGCAGGTATTGCCCCTCAGGGTACCCTTGGGCCCCCATAGATTGATGAGGTAGATACCGTTGCATCTTTTCCTACTTAAGACTTGAGATATACGGAAGGAGAGGGAAGCTAATGCTGTGCCCCTGTGGACCTTAGCATGGGCCTGCATGTCCTGACCTGTCTTCCATAAGCCCAGATTTTTGATGGTTTCTTCCTAATTCATTTCTGCGCTGGTTTACATAATGTCATTTGTTTTACAGATATTCTCCAATGACGGGCAGTTCAAAAGCCGCTTTGGCATTCGGGGGCGTTCCCCTGGGCAGCTGCAGCGACCCACAGGAGTGGCTGTGCATCCCAGCGGGGACATAATCATTGCAGATTATGATAATAAGTGGGTTAGCATTTTCTCTTCAGATGGGAAGTTTAAGGTAAGAATAACAAGACCAGCTGGCCAGTAAACAGTAGGGAGAAGGGATAGGAAGCATAAGAGGAAGTTGTTTTGTTTAGTTTTTCTTGAGCTGCAAAGTTGTTCATATGCAAAGACAACTTTGTTACTGATTTTATGAAGTGAGAAGAACAATGATATTGTCCTAAGTCTGCTTAGATGTATCTTAAATGTGACTTTATTTTATAAAGCAATTGGGTTGCTCAGGCACTTTTTTTTTTTAATACCATCAGATTTAGAGAGAAACTTCCTGTTACCTCAATTGAATGAAAAACCTTAATCGATGTCATTTTTTTTTTGAGGGATTTTTATTTTCCTTTTAAAAGTCTCTGCATCATTGCAGTCACCTTGTTTTTATGGAGACACATGGAGGACATGATACTAACCCTCAGAACAGGGCCTGTTTTGTATGGAGCACCCATCATTTCAATCCAGGAGAATGAAAATCTGTTGTTTTTGATTCCACAGTCGTGCACACAATTCCCCAGTCACCCTAGATATCTTGGGTCCTCTGAAATTTAATGACTCCATGTGATGGTCAGATACACACAAAGTCGCTTCTCCTCTAACTTCCTCCCCTTCTTGGTGCTTTCGTGATTGTATTTATGGTAAGGCACGCCTAACCATGACAGCTTTCTCACGAATAGGATGAAAATTATTGAGTCACCTCTAAAAAATATTCATCTAGTTTGGGGACAGTTCATTTGGTTCTTGTTTCACACTCTAGCAAAACCATACCCTGCCTTTTGAAATGCAGGAATGACTCGTAAAATAGATATTGAAACAGTAATTTAATATCAAAGATAGTGGAATATTTTATGTCTAATGTATTGAAATATTTTCAAGCTAATATAGTAAAACATACTGAAACAGGAGTTTATATATCTGAAAGAGGTGAGTTTCCTAATTAAGCCTTTTCATCTTGTGCTTCAGAATTTTACATGTAATAGACACTCTTCTTAGGCGAAATGAATTCTCACAGCGGAATATTGTTGGTAATAACTGGAATAAGCACTAGAGAACACTCCTGCTCCTAGAGGACTGGGGGATGGATATGTGATAGTTCCAAAATCCCCCCCCCTTTTTAAGGTCAATGCTGATAAAGACCCAAGAGTAAAAGGATGCAAATAAAAGCACTGTGATATGTAATAGGAGCTCATCCAAATGTGATGTCCCTGACCACACACAGAGAGGTACTTATTTTCTACTTTGGTGCAATTCAGAAAAGTTAAACAGATACTCAGAAAGATAAACTTTTATCATATAGGCTCATTTGTGTATTTGCTTGTAATAGTAGCAGACATAGAACATCTTACCTCTTTTTTCTTTTACTCACCAGCTTCTTTGCCCTAATTTTCATTCCCTCTGCCTCCTCTGATTCTTTCCTTTCCATCTTCCCTGCAAGACTCACATCTTCCATTCCATCTTCTGTGACCCCCCCAGAACCAATAGAGAGGCCCCTGGCACCCCTCATTCTAAAATAGCTCATCTCTTCCCCTTTCAATCGAAGATCCTACTTGTTGAGCTGAATACTTTCACTTAACTCTCCCAAGCCAGGGTCTAATCTTTTTGCTTTCTATACTGATTAAGATAAGAGACACATTGTCAGGGCAAAAGCAGTAGCCCTTATTTTCCTTGATAGAGTCCAGTGCAGCCTAACTGGAAGAAAGGAAATGGAAGTAAAGATGATTTTGGTTCAACTTTTAAGGTTTTTCTCTGAGACCTGCACTGTTTCTCACTATGTGATTTATTTTCTGTTGTATTCTACACAGTTATCATCTGCTTGGTATTATATGGCTGAGTCATTCTAAATAACAACTGGTGTTTTTCATTGTGAGGCAGTAATGATATTCATTAGCCATCAAGCTTGCACTTCCTTCGTTTTGATCTCTGCTGACATATCTTCCATTCAGACCTGAGAGAACGTATAGTTCCTTTATAAGCCATTATGTTTTAGTCTCTTTGATCTCTGGGCTACATGGAAGAACCAGAATCAAATTTATGCAACAGATTCCCTGCAAGAATGCTATTGTTTCCTTCCTAAATGAATGCGCCTCTTTGTCTACCGAGACCAAGTCTGAATCTCAGTTATTTATGAATTTACAAAAATATAAAGGCTGAACCCCCACTATGGGAAAGTCCCCATCTCTCTCTCCAGACTCTCTACACACATCTGCTGGCTCTTTTGAGATAGAAGATAATCCCACGCATAAGATTTATCAGCTGAGTATGATAAAGGAGAAGTAGATTGTCTGTGGCGCTATAAAAGTAAATATATAAAACTTACATCTTGTGGCAAACGGGTCTTTATAAGCACACTGTAGTTCACTCAGAAAAATGAGTAAGATTTAAAATGCATATGGTATATGCTTGATAGAAATCAGATGCTTTGCTCCCATTTTAAAATACTGGAAACTGGAGCCATTTAATGACCATAATTACGTTGTTTCTGGATTTTAATAACGTTTATTCAGCAAATATTTGTTGGGTACTTATTAGACACTAAGAAGTGTATGATACTCTGAGCAAAAGGCACTGGATAAAACATTCAGACTCCCACCTGAGTGAGTTTAAGTCTAGTGAAGTTCAGTGACAGAAGACCTGGCAATTGCAGTGTTAAGTATGACATGTAATAATGACAATGATGGATTCCCTTTAATGACTGCTTCATAGGTGCTATGCTCCAAACACTTACCTGCATTATTCATTGCATATATGATCCTAAAATAATGTTGGAAACTATTAATTAAGATGAATATGTGAGGAATCTTCAGTTTAAAGAAATCGAATACATTTGTGTTATGCCAGTTGTGTCCAAAGCAGATCACAGACACAGGACAGTCATCCTATACCTAATCCAGGGATCTTTTGATATACCACATTGCCTCCTTCGAAGAGAACCATGATCCCAGTTAAGGGGATTCTTGGTGAGGAACCTTAAAAAAAAATAAGGGTTTTGGACCTCCCTAGTGGCGCAAGGGGTTAAGCACCGCACTATGAAGCAATCCACAGCCTCTGCAGCATGAGTTCAATCCCCGGCTGGCCAGGGAGTAACATGGCGCAGCAGACTTCTCAACTTGCCCGCTGCTCCCCTCAGCAGTGTACTTCAGTCAGTCTGCCTGTTCTGTTTCCCACTCTGTCTCTGGTGAATCCTCTCACCCTCCCACATCTCTGGCCTGTACCCCAGCTCTTGTATGCATAAATAAATAAATCTTAAAAAAATAAGGGTTTCATAGAAATCTCAGTAGATAACAAAAGTGGTAAAGATAATTTTCTAAGACAGAAGAGTAGCAATTTTTGTGACAGAGGAGTAGCAATGAATGCCTATTTGCACATTCAAGCCAATGTTTACTAAGACAGATCCTGCTGGTGCTGTGGTGCTTTCAACTTCATTTCTGTGCTTGTTTCTAACAGACAAAAATTGGATCGGGAAAACTGATGGGGCCCAAAGGTGTCTCTGTGGACCGCAACGGCCACATCATCGTGGTGGATAACAAGGCGTGCTGCGTGTTTATCTTCCAGCCCAATGGGAAGATAGTCACCAGGTTTGGTAGCCGAGGAAATGGGGACAGGCAGTTTGCAGGTACACTCGATGGTAATATGTAAACCCCCTTTTTCATGTTCTTCTGCTCACACTTGCATGATATCGGAGCATGTGGAGGCACCTCACCACCAATGCTTGCTGGCTTGGGGCAAGGTACTGGGGGTGGCATCTAAGCCAGAGCTTGGCTGGGTGCTGCTCAGTTGCTCCGCTGCAGTCAGGTTATCTGCAGTCCATGTGTGGGCTTTTGTCAGTGGCAGTTTATAACTCAGAAGCCTCACATTCAAATATTAAGTAAAATAAAAATTTTAAAATAAATTATTTAAAAAATAAAAATGGGATCTCCCCGGTGGCTCAGTGGGGTGAGCACCATGCTGTGAAGCTGTCTGCAGCCACTGCAGCACCAGTTCGATTCCCAGCCAGCCAGGGAGATACCCACAGAGGTCTGGTGTGACAGACCTCTCCTGTCTCGCCCACTACTTACTCCCCTCAGCAGTGTCTTCTGTCCATCTGCCTGTTCTGTCCCCATTCCATCTCTGGTGAACTCTCTCACCCTCCCGTGCCTCTGGCCTGTACCCCAGTTCTTGTATAAATAAAAATAAAAATCTTAAAAAAAAATCCTTCCATTTAAAAAAAAAAAAATGTTCAGGGGAGTGACTCTTGTTTCCCAGCTGCAGCTTTATGGAGCTTCTGAATGAGAGGTTTTTTTTAACCTTCCTTAGTAATTGTAAGATATCATGATTTCAATACATTTACTGTGTACAGCAAGGATAGACTCCCTTCTCTTTTATGGTATACCATACCGAGCTTGCAATTGCAAGCTTCCTTAGATTTTCACATCTGCAAGAGGCTGAATTTATTAAATTTTTATTTAATGAACATTTTTATTAAATTCTCTTTTTGAAAGGATGCTTTGGGCAGTGAATATTCATTTGCTTAATCTTTCTTTATGCTTTGTCTCCAGTTCTGCCAGGTTCTGAATGTCAACTCAAATTATAAAGTGGGTTTTCTGCTCGATTTTTTTTCAAAAGCATGACCTGTCAGAGTCTTCTTCCCAGTGCAGAGTCACTGTGTTTTTTCTCAGTCGGAAGCTGGGGATCCTGAAATGATCACATGTACTCAGGGAACTGGCAGAGGGGACTTTCAGACGGTGGTGCGGAGAATAACTTCTGCCGCTGTTGCTCATTCCGCTTCACCAGGCCGGGGGGAGCGCTTAGCTTGAGCTGAAAGAATTCAGAGTAGATAGTGACAGGCATAGCGTGACAGAGGGGCCAGGTTATCTGGAGCCAGAGGTCTGGTTGGGTGAACTTTCCCGGACTGAGTCTCAAATTCTTTGTTCTTGCTGAAGTAAACTAAGTTAATGTACTACATCTGGTAGTAACTGCTGTGTTATTGCTGCCACTTGGTTTGCTGTGGTCACCACCTAATTTTTTCCATCTTTATTGCAGGTCCCCATTTTGCAGCTGTAAATAGCAATAATGAGATTATCGTTACAGATTTCCATAATCACTCTGTCAAGGTACTAGAAACACATCAATTGTTGTTAACTTTTAAATGCGTTTATTGAGAAATCGGTCTGGGGGAAAATAACAATACAGGGCCTAAAGGTGTTAACCTCAAAGACTAGATTTGGCTTCTTAAAGACAGGCTCTTGCCCGTCTGTGACTGGCTGTGCAGGTGCCTCCTTTTCCTCTTCCTGATAAACCTGCCCTTTTAAAATGTTAAAAAAAACAAATGCAGGTATCAATTTGGACAGACAGACCTTGGAGAGTCAGAGAAGTCAAAAAAATATGACAATAAGTTTTTTAATTTGAAATGGGTGTAAATAGAGACGACTTGAAAAATTAGCTCGTGAAAGCAGTTTAATACTTTGTGTCTATCCAATAAACTGAACAGAGCGCTTTTTCAATTTTCTGCATCATAAAGCCTTTCAAATAAACTTAAAAATTAATATTCTGCTGCAACAACAGATATGGGATAGATGGGGGGTTCACCCCAGTGTACATTTATTCATGTAGCATATCTGATGCTTCTCAGGGTACTTTCACCCACCTGGTGTTTCTTGAAAAACAATGCAGCCTCCCACCCCCTCTTTACATCTTTCCAACTGGGTATAGAGGGAATATGTGAACTTTATTATGAACAAATTAGAAAACAATAAGTGGTTCAAGGCAGATATCTCATATATTGAAGCCAGAAGATGTTTGTCCCCTCCCAGAGCAAGCACCTGGTGTCCGGCTGCAGGAAGGCCTGCAGTCCTGGGCCAGGTGCTGGCACCTACTGTTTTTTTAGGCAATGACATACTTTATTTTATTTTCATCAAGAATTCTGGCCATAGTCCTTGCTTAGCACCATAAAAACAATTTGATTTGCAGTTTGGGACAGAGAATCCTTGAAATGTGTTTGTTTATTTTTTTTAATTTTTAATTGCAGTACATTGGCTTATGCCGTTACATAGATTTCGGGTGGCCAGCACTTTAAATCAGCATCGGTATGTGCACTATATCACATTAGCCTCCAGGTCGAGTTTCCATCCTTCGCCATGCAAAACTGACCACGACCTGCCCCAACCTAGCCACCCTCACCCCCTTCCCTTATTTTAAGAGTTACATATTTCATTTTAGATTTGCCTTTTGTTCCATTAAGTGATAATAGTTTGCACTTTCAGAAGTGATGCATTTTTCCTTGTAAGTTCATGGAAATTTTTTAAAGTGAGGCATTTTAAAGAAAAGTTAATAAGGCAGCAACACAGGTGATAAGTCAGTAGCTCAAGTTTCCACAGGGTCAGCCATGGATAAACCAAAGCTAGAATCAGTTGATCTAATCAGTTGATCCCTATCCCTTACCTGGAAGAGATGAGGGATAGGGACTTTAACAACCAAGAGCGCTCTCTCAGAAGTTTCCTCAAAGACACCTCTCGCCTGAGTGAAAGGGGAGACCTTGCACTTTTTCCCTGGGTATCAGTTCACAAGCACAGTGCAGCACAGTGGTGAGGGTGCAGGAGGAGGGAAGGGGGTGCTCCCTGGCAGTGCCCTTTTGTTTCCACAGAGTCGCCACCCCGTGGCAGCGCTCCACCCCACAGGTGACAGGGAGATTGAGTTTGTGATTATTTTCCTTTTTTTAAGAACAAACTATGAACCAGAGACACTCTATGGGGAGTAGGGGGCAGGGAGGGGAGAGGTTGGGGTCAAAATAAAGGGGTCGTAATTGTATGGGGAATATAAAAATAAAATTTATAATAAAAAAAATTTTTAAGTGCAAAAAAAAAAAAAACAGTATCAAGTTTAGGGGCCTCCCTGGTGGCGCAAAGGGTTAAGTCTCAGCACTATCAAGCTATCTGCAGCCACTGCGGTACGAGTTCAATCCCCAGCCAGGGAGGTAACCCACATGGCGCAGCTGACCTCTCCTATCTCGCCCACTACTCCCCTCAGCAGTATTTCAGTCAATCTGCCTGTTCTGTTCCCCACTCTGCCTCTGGTGAATCCTCTTATCCCCTGCACCTCTGACCTGTACCCCAGTTCTTGTATGCGTAAATAAATAAATCTTTAAAGAAAAAAAAAAGAATGTCTTAAAGCATAGGTCATGCTATAAATAACCTGCTCAGATAGATATTTTTAAAATCCATGATATTGGCTCAACTATTTTAATTTACAGTAATTCAAAAATATTTCATGCAGGTGTTTAATCAAGAAGGAGAATTCATGTTGAAGTTTGGCTCCAATGGAGAAGGAAACGGGCAGTTCAATGCCCCGACAGGCGTGGCCGTGGACTCCAACGGCAACATCATCGTGGCTGACTGGGGCAACAGCAGGATCCAGGTAGGCAGACACACTCTGGGGCATTTCAGTGCTGGGCTTTTGTTAGTAGTGAGGAAGCAACTGTCCTCCAAAATGGCCTGCTTCTCATTCTTCATGGGTTAGGTCATAAGGCCGTAGGTGACTTCACCGGACTTCCCGGCTAAGCAAGATGGGGTAGAGAAAGCGTCAGCATGTTACCAGACCACACCCCAACCTTAGGGCATCTTCACATGCACCCACAGACTACCAAAGGGCCTGGCACTGAATTTAAGATGACAGATATATTATACCATTATTTCTAGTAACTTCTAACTGAAGAGTTTCACCGCCTTTCATTATGAATAGAGGGAGCAATCACAGTAGCTTTAGTAACACCTGTAATATTACCACCAAGAGAAATCACAGACCTTGTCATATTACTATTATACCCTATGCTATGGAGTGAAAAGGAGCAGACGAACTTGGAACCATCACTCATGCTGAGTGGAAAGAGGCACTTCAATAAGATCATATACCATTTGATTCCATGTATGTGCCATTTGCAAAACAAAAATAATTATTGAGAAAGAAAACAGATCCGTTAGGGACAATGGGAGTAAATTGGGGGGGGAGGTGGACATGACCACCCAGAGGCAGCCAGGAAGTCCTGTTCTATGGAATATTCTGATATTGTAGAATATTCTGATGTGATGGTAGTTACAGGAATCTACACTTGGGATAAAATGTACAGCTACATATCCACATCCCAGCATCTCTTTTATAAGATGGAGACTTTGGGGGGAACTGGTTGAAGGGACACAGGATTTCTGGGCACTATCATGGCAACTTCCCATTAATCTGTTATTATTTCAAAATCAGAAGTTACCAAAAGCAAATCTGAAAGAAGAATACATTTGAATATGCATCTGTGGTTTAGGAGCAATGGTATTGTAAATGGCATTTGATATTTTGACTGCATATTAAAAATGATAAAAATTATAGCATTCTGGAAAAAGCACATTGAAACACTGTTTTGAAGTGGAGTCTATAGTCTTTGCAAAGGGGCCCCAGCACAAAAACTTTGATTTTTCTGTATGTCAACAACAAAACCGTCAAATCCTCAAGGTAGGAAGACCACTCTATTTTCTCAATTGTCTGTGTAGACACCTGCATAATCTAAACATGCATTAACAGGCAGGGTTCTTCATTCTGCCATGCACCTGAGCACCCACAGTGCTCTTTAAATCTCATAGCTACCAGGGGTCTCTGTGAGTACAGCCATCAGAACTTTGTATCCAGTGTGTATAACTACATCTCGGATAAAGAACTGAGACAACACTAAATGCCTTTATTTCTCCAGTGTATTTATCTTGTTTAATTACCCCAGCAGGCAACTACATTTGAAAGAGGCATTCTGTATCTGACGGGAAGTCAGAAGCCAGACAGGGGCCAAGTCCACAAAGCATTTCCATGTGGGACCACCAATGCTAAGCTGTTTGTGCTCATAACACCTGTTAGCTTCCACTGCCTTTTAAAGCACTCCACAGGGCAAACAAATTGTCCAGAGGAACCAGCTTAGCCCTTGAAAAGAAGTTTTTTTTTAATTTCATCACAGCAGAAGCTTCCAGACCAAAGACGACCACTTCGTATCCATGCATGTTGCCCCAGTGACTTCTTGTAACTCTTTTCTTTTTTCTTAAAGGCTTATTTTTATTTATTTATGCACACAAGTACTGGGGTGTAGGCCAGAAGTGCGGGGGATAAGAGGATTCACCAGAGACAAAGTGGGGAGCAGAACAGGCAGATCTACTGATATACACTGCTGAGGGGAGCAGTGAGCGAGACAGAAGAGGTCTGCTGCACAGTGTGGGTAGCTCCATGGCAGGGGATCAAACTCATGCCGTAGTGGCTGGCAATTGCTTGATAGTGCAGAGACTTTAATCCCTGCACCACCCTTGTAGCTCTTCTCTAAAAAAGAAAATATAATCTATTTTCTCATTCTCATGATCACTCAAGACGGTTCTTCTGTGGTCTAGTTGCTCATCTTTCTCTCTAATGATTGGGGATAAAAGAGAGACGTGAAGCTGGAAGGGAAAAGTGAAGGCTTTGAGCGAGAGATACCGGTCATACATTTTTCACGCTCCATCAAATATGACCACCTTAAGAATATACTGGCCGAGGGCATGTTCACTGTCTATAACTCTGGGACAAGGAGAGAGGGAGAGAAGAAAAAATAAAATAAAGGGAGAGAGAGAGAGAGAGTAGATATGTTAATGTCCTAAACAAACCTCGGGAATATACATGTTTTATATAAAAAACACTCATATCAAGCGCTTTCTCACTTTTATTTCATCATACCATTCAACCTTTTCCTGTATAACCCTCTGATTTTATATTTTCGACAGGTGTTTGATGGAAGTGGATCGTTTTTGTCCTATATTAATACATCTGCTGACCCACTCTATGGCCCCCAAGGCCTGGCCCTGACTTCAGACGGCCACGTAGTGGTGGCAGACTCTGGAAACCACTGCTTCAAGGTCTATCGGTACTTGCAGTGACCTTGACCGTTGGCCGCTGGACACCCCTTTTACAAAGGTCTTGCACTATAAACTGGAATGAATTTCTCGGCGCGGGACCAGATTATACTAGACTTTTCATGCTAGATGGAATCATTGGTGAACTTTCCAAGGTTGTTTCTGAATGTAACAGTTTCCTTAAAAACTGCATATCTGATTTCTGTAATTCACCTTTAGGGTTTAAAAAAAGGAAATTTCTTCTACTGAATCTATAAAAACTGCAAAGTTTTACTCCTGTGAACTATGGCCTGTAGGACAGGGATTTATGTAGTTGAACTAATTTTGCAAATCAAACAAGCATTTAAAAAATCTAGAATATTTAAAGGTTATTCGTTAATCCTGTGAATGATAGCTTTTGCGCAGAGCTTCCAAAATTAAAACAAAACAAAAACAAAATCTGTTGTAGTTATATACTTTATTTAACCTCAGTCACAAGACCTGGGGAATCTTTTAACCTCACCTTTTACAGTAGGTATTACTTTGGTCACTTTTTTTGGTTATCAACAGTGACAGAGAAATGACTTTAGGAAAAAAAAAAGAGACTGTCATGCAAGTCTGATTAGCAGGTCTATGAGTTTAGCACTTAACAATCAATGCAAATTTCCCATCCATTCTGGATTCGATCACAGATCCTTTGGATATATTCCTTTCACCTGCTCTCATTATATCAAAAAACAAAGTACATTTTCAGGGCAACCTGAAATACCCAATGCTTTGCAAAGCATCTTCCAATAGTAATGCTACCTTTGGCAGACAGCCCTTCCACTCCAGATTCGTGCACTGGAATGCAATCAAGAAAAGAATGAGTGATGTTTTATGTGCCATGTTCTCACATGTCTCTCTTCTTCCACTTCATGAAAGCGAAAGCTTTACCTCCTGCAAAACGTCAGCACATGTAGTAGGACACCAGTATCCTAGGACAGAGAGCCATAAGTAGCCCTTTGGAGGACTGTGGTGTCAACCAAAGGCATGCGATTGATGAATGGTTTTCCCTTAGAAAGCAAGTGTTACCAAAGTTGTGTTATCTCAAAAACCTTACAGGTAAGGGCATGTTATGGTTATTTATCATTGTCTAATGAATAGTAGAGGCATTAAAGGACTATGTATACATGATTAGGGTAAGGTAGAATGTATCATATATATATACATATATATATAGCTGAAACTTTGGTGTATTGAAATAGGCAGCACTCTGAAAAGCAAAGCATTGCCCAGCCTTCTTCAGCACGCCCTTCATTGCACAGTGAAGCTGCCCCAGGAGAACACGCCCTCAAGCAAACATGATTCTTGCCACTTTCCAGAAATGGTGGTGGTGACTGACCTTGAGTCAGAAAATGGCCTTCTATGCTTTCAAAATAAGAGAGAACAGAAACAGGTCAAAAGAAAAGTTGAATTTGAGTTCTAAGGAAATCAAACCTAAGTATAAATGTGTTTTAAGAAATGCTAAGAGTAATTTAGCCAATCTATCATTGATAACTGTAAAATAAGATGTGGTCTATTTCCACAGTTGAACTTTCTACTCAGTTCTACCAAATAGGATGCCAAACTCGGCATTTTCGATAATGACTTTGGGATCTTTTTCACTGAAAGCACCTTAGAACTGTACCATAAGAAAATAATTCCCTTATGTGTAACTATATGAATGTGATGTTTACTGCTTATTAATTTATAATGCAATCACACTCTTATATAGGACTTTTTAAAATTTTGAAGGGAAACCCAGCTACTTCCAATTGTCTGTCAAATTTATTATGCCCAAATCAACACCTGGAAGAATTTTTTTCAGGGAGATTTACATCTAGGTTTAGTATTTTTTTAAGTTAGGTAGAGTTTTCAAAGTACTTGAGCCTGTCTGTGATAAAATTATAAAATTCAATAACATTTTTAGAATATTAAACTAAGACATGGTTTCCTGACATCAGTGAAAAGTCTTTGAATTTACACATTCATGTTTGATGAGTGATCACAAGGTGCCCCAAACTATGCCAGACACCAGGGGTAAAGTGAAGACAAGAATCCCAGCCCCCTTGGAGTTTACATCCCAGAGAGGGAATTTCATTCTGCTGTTTATTAACATTCTGCATAAAAGATAATAGTTACTATACTGTTTAAGAGAAAACTTTTAAAATGGTTAAATTCATTTTAATTTATTTTCACAAGTAAAAATGCTTTCCTATTTGGACCTCTTTCTACACTTCATTTAGCCAAAGGGCCAGGAAGTGATGGATCCCTTTCCAGGCTATTGATCTTAAGACTTAGTTTATGGAAAAGGTTTTTTTTTGTTTGTTTGTTTGTTTGTTTTTGGTGCAACATTTAAATTATATTTTTGAATTGAAAAATTTAATCAGCCATCCCATATTAGGTTGGGTCCTATATTATGGGACTATATTAGGTCCATAAAGATTAGCCATCCCATATCTTAATAGTAGATTGAATACAAGGCAAAAAATTTTGCATGTCAAGTTGGCACAAACTGGAATGAAAGAATAGATATTTTGATTCAGACCTGTTCCACTATCTGAAACAGTTGCTATGGGCACCCCAGAAATCACCATTTTTTCCCCAAAAAAATATGATCATCTAGATTAAAGTATAGATAACATTTCACATTTGAATACAGACGTGCATTTACTGTATTTCTTGGTAAGCATATTTTAGGGAAGAAAGTGCTGCTGATAATAGAGGAATAGACAAGATTTAAATGCAATTTTGTCACATTCTATGGAAAATGGTTTCTGGTAAACTGAGAAGGATATTAAAATAAGTGACTTTTTTTCTGGGCTACCATTATTGTTTGATTTCTCTTTGTTAAGTGTACAGAACCTGTCATACCTTCATGATAAGTAGCACTGAAAAATTACTCATTCAAATTTCCCCTGGGCACTTATGGCAAAATGTTGCCAGTTAGTACATGAAGGTCCGTGACTGTGCATTCCCTCCTAGGGAGCCCTCCCCTGCTGGACACGGGAGGTGGAAAAGTCACCGGTCCGTCCAGAACCACATCAATAAAAAACCTTTATGACTGTTCATCCTTTGTTTTGAATAGTAATTAGTGTCTTGATCTAACTTTAGTCTCCAGTAACTAAACAAGTCAAGTTTCCTTATTTCAATTTGCTCTCACTAGAGTTGAGACAAATAAATGTCACAGGTCCATGCAACTGGAACACACTTGCTTCTGCTAAGTATACAGGGTATGTCCTAATGTGGAGTTAACTGGAATAGCTGTACATGAGCAAGTGTATATGGGTCCTTATGTGAAGGTCATTACGTTGGTAATGCCTACTGAGTTAAATTGGAAGAAATTGCAAATATCAGGTAATCGGCAGATGACTTCAAATGGGAAAAATCTTTTTGTACATTTGGACTCTATAGTATCCTCTCTATTCACCAGCTTCTGAAAAGGGAGGAGTATTTGTAGTTTAACCATGTGAAAACAAGACATTTCCAGGAAGGATAAAATTGAAGCTGTTTGCTTAAAACCGAAAGTCCTAATACTGTTGCATTCTATAAATGTTGCAGGGTTTTAAACTTTACAATTATTTTAATATTTTTGATAACTAGGAATCTAGAATTGCCATAAAGGAAACTAAGTGCCCATTAAAGATTTGTTTGGTATAAATAAATAATTTTTTTTTTTTGCTTTAAATGACAGTAAGCTACAAATCATGATGTTAATCTTTAAAAAAAAATTTCTGAAGATGAATTGTGTGGCAGTGATTGTGTGGTCTGTTTGTGGAGAATGTATGAAAGCTATTAATAGTCTAAAATAGGTTAATTGGCTATGTTGTTCCAGTGAATGTACAGCACTTCCATTAACTTTGGAAAGCAGCACAGCCTTAAACTCAATGCTTTTGCTTTATGACATGGGAATGTTTTGTCATCCACAGAGTGTATCCTTATCATAGAACCCTTTTTATCATCCTCAAGTCTATAGCCTTTCAATCCTACGTATGATTATGAAAGTTTTTTGCTTCCTTTCTTTTTCAATTTTGTACATTCCATCTTTATAGATCTGTTTCATACTTTTCCTGTGTATAGAACACTAAGTCTTGCCCTGACATTGGTACTTTCTCATGGTTTGTTCTTTTATGAATCAAAATGCTGACTGCTTATTTAAAGAAAAGAGTGAGCGCTGTGTATCCAAGTGTTTGTACGTTCATAGCTGCATACGTACCACAGTATTTTGGATGCTTTAGTCTACAATAAAACTTTAAATTAATTCTGTCTTGAAACATAGGAGAAACAAGTTTCATGTGTATATCTTTATCATGCACAAAATCTCCAATCATTATAATAAAGCTTGTTTTCTCCATTTCCAGGGTGAATGTTTGTTTCTTTTTTCAGTGAAGGGAAGTGAAGGAATGTTGTAGAATATGTGCAAGAGATCATTACGTCAACCAAACTGTTTACGCTTATGAGAAGCTTAATAAAATTTTCTTAGTCGTGCTAATAATCTATTAGCATTTAGGATGTAACTTCAACAGATATTTGGAAAATCGTGGGATATGCACAGCACATGTATTTACATGGTGTAGTAGATCAAAATCACTATCCTCATACTGCAGAACAAAGAGACCTTTGGCATAAGTTTAATAATGTTGCAGAGTAAAACACTAGGAGAAACTAAATCAATGGAATGCTATGCTTCCCTAACAAGCAACAGGAGGTACAAATTCCTATTTCAGATGCTCTTTTTATGTTTTCAGTAGTGTATACAATTAAGTCTTCATTTTGCAGCACCTGCAAACGAAGGGATCCAAACTTTTGCTTGGAATCACCATCTACTGTCATCAGGTGGTAACGTAGTTTTGAACATTTTGACTTGAAATTCATTCCTTGTTTTTTAAAAAATAAAAACAAAAAAGGGGATTTTTTTAAAAAGATTTATTTATTTGTTTATTTATACAAGCACTGGGTACAGTCAGAAGCGAGGGAGGGTGAGAGAATTCACCAGAGCCAGAGCAGGGAGCAGAGCAGGCAGAAGGACTGAAGTACACTGCTGAGGGGAGCAGCGGGCGGCAGGAGAGGTCTGCGCGCCATGGGGGACCCTCCTCTGGTGGCCGGGGAGCAGCCGGGGATCGAACCAGCACTGCAGAGGCTGCGGGCAGCTTCGCAACCCAGCGCTCAACCGCTGCGCCACCGGGGAGGCCCAGGGGGAGATTTTTTAAAGCTAGAAAAATAGTGACTAACTGGGGGAGAGATGAACGGCAAAGTGAGAAAACAAAAAAGGGCGCCCCAGATTGGGCAAATCCGGATGGACAGAGGTGGTGTCTTCATCGCCAGCAGCCAAACCTCTATTTTACAAGACAAACTCAGGTTGGATTTCTGCTGCGCAAGGGGTTAAGACGAAACCTATGAAGCTATCTGCAGCCACTGCAGCACGTGGTCGAGCCCCGGCCAGGGAGCTACCCACATGGTGCGGCAGACCTCTCCTGCCTCGCCCGCTGCTCCCCTCAGCAGTGTACTTTGGTCAGTCTGCCTGTTCTGTGCCCCGCTCTGTCTCTGGTGCGTCCCTCACACCCTTCCCACCCCCCCTACCCCACACCCCGCACCTCTGGCCTGTACCCCAGCTCTTGTATGCATAAATAAAATCTTTAAAAAAAAAACTTTCTTTAAAAAGGGGTTAGGGCCTCCCCTGTGGCGCAGCAGTTGAGCGCTGGGTTGCGAAGCTGCCCTCAGCCTCTGCAGCGCTGCTTTGATTCCCGGCTGCTCCCCGGCCACCAGAGGAGGGCCCCATGTGACGCGCAGACCTCTCCTGCCGCCCGCTGCTCCCCTCAGCAGTGTACTTCGTAGGTCTGCCTGTTCTGTTCCCCGCTCTGGCTCCGGTGAACTCTCTCACCGTCCAGTTCTTCTGACTGTACCCAATGCTTGTATAAATAAATAAATAAGTAAATAAAATAAAAAAATAAAAAATAAAAAGGAGTTAAATTCTACCCCGAAGAGAAAGTGGAGGAAGCATGGGGGTTCCCCGACACTGCAGACGCAGGAGCCACTCAGCGCTGACAGCTGGGACAGGCCCCGCCCCCGAGCAGGCCCCGCCCCGCCCGCCCGCCCGCCCGCCCGCCCGCCCGCCCGCCCGCCCGCTCGGCGCCGCCGCCAGGGGTCGCTGCGCGCCGCGGGGACGAGGCTCGGCCTCTCTCTCTCCCGCCTCCTCCCCTCGCTGCTCCGCCCCCGGGGCGGTGTCGGCGCCAAAATCAAACCCGCTCTGCGCCCCGCCCCCGCCTCGAGCGCCGCCCGCGCCACCGGAAGACCCGCGGCCGCGCCATGGTAAGAGCTGGGGTCCGGCCGGCGCCTGTGCCCCGGTGTGAGGGCGCAGAGCCGAGGGGGACGCCGAGGGGTCGCGCTGCCCCCTCTGCACTTCCGGGGGGGCAGCCCCGCAGCTGCGCCCCCCCCCGCCGCCCTGCACCCCGCGGCAGTCCCGGGGAGGGAGCCGCCCCCCCTGCCCCCCAACCCCCCCCGCCCCCCTCCCACCCGCCACGGGCGGCTGAGGCGGGGCAGCGAAATGTTCTCGAGCGCTCCGGGGTCTGTTGGAACGCGCCTGGGCGAGAGCTGAGCCCAGAGGCCCGGGGCTCGGCCCCAGGGCGCACCCCGGCATTTGGAACCCCCTGCGGGCTGCTCCGGGACCGGAGACCCCAGGGCCTGAGTGCCGACCCGGGGTGGTTTTGTGAATCGGGACAGTGGAGCACGTTCTGAACTGCTCTTAATTTCTTTTTTTCTTTTTTTTTAAGATTTATTCATGCATACAAGAGCTGGGGTACAGGCCAGAGGTGCGGGAGGGTGAGAGGGTTCACCAGAGACAGAGTGGGGAGCAGAACAGGCAGACTGATGAAATACACTGCTGAGGGGAGCAGCGGGCGGGACAGGCGAGGTCTGCCGTGCCATGTGGGTATCTCGCTGGGGCCCGGGACTCGAACCCGCGCTGCAGAGGCAGCTTCACAGTCCTGCTTCAGCCGCCTGCGCCACCAGGGGAGGCCCCTGAACTGCTCACAATTTCAAAGGCGGCCTAACCAAGCCTCATTTGATGCCAGTTACACCATGGCTGTAAACAGAGTCCTTTTCCCCAAAGGGCGAGAAATGCGGGACTTCGGAGCCCGAAGTCGACCCGTTAGAGAAACTGGCGCGGAGACTTCCCTGCGTACCATAAAGGGTTAGGTCTGGGACGATGACCCACCGTCTCTCTGTGAACTTAATATTTTATTGCTCGTCAAGTCGTTTTCGTAAGCCTTCAAAGTTTCATGCCATTTTTGTGTGCTTCTCTTGGCAGAAAATCAACATTCATTAAATGGATCTAAGATTTTAATATCTTAATTTAGCTAATGGCCGTTATTTTGCCGAGCTTCTGCTGGACAAGGATCTAGGTTGTTCAGTGTTTATTTGAAGCTACTTGTCCAGATATAATTATAGCTGATAACGGCTTTTTGTGGTTAAACTAACAACTTAGCCATCTGGGCGTGAAAGGATTTGAAGAAGCCAAACAGGACTACACTTAAATCTGTTAGCATCTGTTAACTGGCTCTGGTGTCGTTTTTTCTTTAGCTAATCTGACTAGTGAGAATTTTGCAACACAAATGCTTGAACTTTGTCTTCTTGCCTATTCTCTCCACACCTGAATCACCTTCAGCTACTACATGGCCTGATGAGCTATTAACTCTTCAGATGCTTCCCTATAATAATGAAGAAAGATGAAACAAGTTAGAATAAAACTTTTTATGACATCGGTGCTTCCTATTGTTTATGTAGGATCAAGAAGTTAGCTTAATGTTTTGTTAACCAAAGACAAACTGTTCTCTTTCAGGATTGGGAATTAATAGTTTGTTATGGTTGAGTTTGTAGGGTGACATTTATAATCCAGTTATCTTTTTTGGAATTGGAGAAATTGAATGGAAGTCTCCTACTTCCGAGGATAGCAGATAGCGTCTACTTTTTCAAAAGGCTATTGTAATTAATCAATTCCTGATTTTAGGAATTCTGTAACTCCCACTTGAAGATCATTACTCCGGTAGATGATTTTTAAGTGGTTTGAAGTATACTGGTCACCCAGAAAACTCTCTTGTCCTCAGGTCGTTTTGAGTCCCCTTAAAGCTTGAATGTATTTCTAACTTTATACTATCAGGAGATTTTCTTCTATCTTAAGCAGTAAATGAACCCTTACTGATTTATTTTGGGAGAGGGGTGGATTTCTAAATATGAATTAACATAGCATCTTTTCGCATTAATTATTTTATTTCTGTCCATAAGACTCCTACTGTGGTTGATTATAAGCCTTATCTGCCATAAAAGAGCAATGTAAGTGGATGCTGCAGCTCATGGTGTTTCTTAAATGTCATAGCTGCTGAACTGAGTGATTCATGGCTTTCCTAAAACTGTGTGACACACACACACACACACACACACACACACACACACACACACACACACACACACACACACACACACACACACGCTTTTTGCCTTATTGCCTGCCTCCAGGTGACAGTTTCTTATGGAGGCCGTGGGTCTCTCCAGCATTTATACCAAAATGTCAGGAGTCTTTCCTACCTAAAGCTTAGAATTCTCAGGGCCCACACAGTGCCCTGTGACTGTGCCCTGAGACTCAGCCTCCAGATTCTGGGCTGAAAAAAGCAATCCTGGGGCACAGTTAAACCCCGTGAGGAATCATTTTAAATATTCATGCCAAGGCTGAAGGCCCCTCCCAGAGATGTGATGAGGGTTTGGAGGGACCTACCTGGCCATCAGCATTTTTTTAAAACTGAGATGATTCTAAGGTATGTCTGTTTGAGACCCGCAGGACTGAAATGGGCCAAAGGCACCTTCTGAGTGTGAGTTTTCATTCGTGGGAGAGACCCTGGAGGCCAGTGCAAAGGGAGGCTTGTCAAACATTGTTGAACTCTGCCTTTGGCCCCCAGGTTCTGTGACCAGGCCTCCGTGGCTTCTTGGCACTTGCTCATCTGGGATTTCTCTATCCAAGCAAAGCAATAAATGGCTGCCACCAGATTCCTTAGTATTAATTCACCTGGTATCATTGTGGGGGTGAAGTGGGAATTGTGAGGTTTGGGAGCCTGAAGAGCCTCGCATTTTAAGGTTGCAAGCTTTTAGATACAGGGTTCTGGACTAGGGGGCTTGTCACCCGACCTGGCACTAAGCTCTGGGAAGGCAAAGGCAGTTCATGTGCATCGCCTGAGAGTCCAGCAAGCACAGCTTTTCATTTGTACTACGTGAGTTGGTGGTGTGTGCTGGGGACATACACAGTGACTCAACTTGGTCTGGGGGCTCGGAAAGTTCTCCTAGAGTGAGAAAGGTGAAACTCAGCCTTGGGAGACTCCACTGGAGTTGTGAATAGAAGGTAGAGGAGAAGCTTGCAAGAGCATTTTTTTTTAAAGATTTATTTATTTTATGTATACAAGAGCTGGGGTACAGGCCAGAGGTGTGGGGAGTGAAAGGACTCACCAGAGACAGAGTGGGGAACAGAACAGACAGACTGACTGAAATACACTACTGAGGGGAGCAGCGGGCAAGCCAGCAGAGGTCTGCTGTGCCATGTGGGTCACCTCCCCTGCCAGGGATCAAACTCATGCTGCAGTGGCTGTGGACAGCCTCATAGGTTGTGTCTTAACCCCTTGCACCACCAGGGAGTCCCCAGAACAGGCAGATTGACTGAACTACACCACTGAGGGGAGCAGCAGGGGAGTGAGGAGAGGTCTGCTGCGCCATGTGGGTTGCTCCCTGGCTGGCTGGGGATAGAACCCGTGCTGCAGTGGCTGCAGACAGCCTCATAGGTTGCATCCTAACCCCTTTTGCCACCAGGGAGGCCCTGCAAGAGCATTTTTATATTTTTTTATAAGATTTTTATTATTTATTTATATAAGCACTGGGGTGCAGGCCAGAGGCACGGGAGGGTGAGAGAATTCACCAGAGACAGACCAAGGAGCAGAACAGGCAGAAGGGCCAAAGTGCACTGCTGAGGGGAGCAGCGGGCGGCAGGAGAGGTCTGCGCACCATGTGGGAATCTCCCTGGCCGGCCGGGAATCGAACCGGCGCTGCAGAGGCTGTGGACAGCTTCACAGCGTGGCGCTCAGCCCGCTGCGCCATCGGGGAGGCCCCAACAAGAGCATTTTTAAAACAGCACAGAAATGAGAAAAAGCTCGCAGTCAGTAACTTGTGTTACAGCTCAATTTGTTTAGCTCTCCAAGTTGTTAGGGTAAACTGAGGGGGGGGGCGCCCAGAGGGGTACATTAGGGGCAGCTGATGGAGGCACCTGTAGCTCATTCTGTGGTGATTGACTGCTTCTGCATATTGGGAGCCACTCTGCGATTTTAAGCAAAAGAGAGGCCTGGTTCTCTGCTCTTTGGCGTGTGGAGTGTGGATGGAGGCTGTGCTGGTGTGGTCTGGGCACTGCAGTGTGTTGCAGAGACCATGCAAGGCCTGAATTGAGGGGTGTAGCAGAGATGGAGCAGAGACAGCTGAGCCCACAGGTTGGTGGTAGGTTGAATGTTAAGAGATAAGGGATCCCCGCGTGACTGCCAGGCCTCTGACCTGGGTAGCAAACTAGTAGCTACCTGAACTTGAGCTTCAGAACAGCAGATTGGGGCATAGGTGGGGAGAGCAGAGGTCAGCGTAGGCCTCCTGAGTTTGAGGCCTGTCCAGCAGGCAAGTAGGTACTGGACAGGGATGCTCAGGAGCACACTAAGGGGCTGGGAGCTGACTTAAAGATCTGAGGTCGCAGGGTGAGAAAAGGTGACCTCAATGGAGAACCCGGAGCTGCAGTGTGTGGGAGGGGGCAGAGGCCAGAAAGTGAATGTCAGCCTACTACTGCAGACACCTGCCGCTCGCCAGGGAGCCACTGAGCTCACTGCTGTGCAGCCAGGCAGTGGGTTTCTGTTCTGTGGGTCAGATGAAGTGCTGCACGCTTTCCTGCTGTCCTCGGCTCCTGTCCTGGTGTTTTTAGTTGGATAGGGTCGATCTTTGTTTCATTTATGTCTACTTTTAAGTAGTGTGAGTGTTAAAGTTCTTCCTGAATATTCCTGAATAAATGTCCTGAGTAACTCTCTTTTTCTTCTTCTTTTTTTTTTTTTTTTTCAGAAGGAAGTTCTCAAAACTCACATGTCACTTTGTTTGCTCCTCCAGTGGGGCGTGTGGCTTGGTCTCATTTGACTTGTATCAGTGAGTTGAACAGGTGTTTTGTTGGTTTGTTTGTTTTTTTTCCCTGTGAATCTTTGCAGTGAAGAAATGTGGCTTTTTTTTTTAATTTTTTATATAGTCTATAGCCATTATATAGTAAAAATCATTAGTAACGTACATTTCAATTACGTGTGAGTGACCTCAGTTTCACATTGGCTAAGGGGTCTGCAGAGAAACTGTAACCTGAAGTGACTTCCACTTCCCATGTTACAGGTTTTTCCCTTTCTCTCGCCTGCCCGCCGCGGTTACTCTAATTTGTCACTGCCTGCTGTAGAAATCACACCTCCTCCTCCTGTCTCCCATCATCTGGCCAGAGACCACCTTGCTTACCTCATCTGCCTCTGTATACTCCAGTCCTCTCAGAATGCTTATCTCTCTGGAACAATCCTGGGTGCCCAGGTCTCCTGTCTCACCATTTCTCAACTTCCTAAAATCCTTTTCATCTCTAGTCTAGATCACCTCCTCCTTCCTCAGGGTGGAATTAATCCTTTCTGTCCTGTCTGTACATGTACCTTTTTATTTAATAGTAGCTATGTCTATGTATTTTCTTTGGGAGATTGTAAGTCTTGAAGGCAAATGAAGTGCCTTACCATTAACTCATTCAATAAATGATGAATTTCTACAAAATGACAAGATGCCCGTCTTGCCCACCGTCCTTACTGTGCTGGCCAACCCCGCCCCAGGCTTGGAAGGGCATGGTAGGGTAGGTATGATGGGTCCTCTGGCCTGACACTAAGAGTTGTCAAATGTTGTTATCAGACAAAACCGTACACAGAATTTCTGATAATGTTTTAGATCAGCTTGTTTTACAATGCAGTGTTTTGTTTCAAACACAGTGTTTACCATTTAACTTTTGTGTTTGTGCTTTAGTCGAAGAAAAAAGGACTGAGTGCAGAGGAAAAGAGAGTCCGCATGATGGAAATATTTTTTGAAACTGTAAGTCATCTTCCTAAGATTTTTAGTATGTTGCATAGTTGTCTCCTTAGGTCTGTGTTAACCCCCTTTTTGTGAGAGATCAATACTGACCATTTGTGAGAAGGGATAAAATTCTGCAAACATTTGTGGTGCTTGTGAGCTGTGGCATAGGAAAGGACTTGTCACTTGTTGGTGAAATCTCTTCATTCAGACTATTGTACACACCCTCTTTCTGAAGCATATACTAGACTGCTCCCCCTTCTGCCTGAAAATAGTAATAATGGCTCACAGTATCATTGGCAGGGACCAGTCACTGCCCTGGGCACTTGGTGTGGATTGTCTGATTTTGTCCTTTTTACTGACAAGAGCTCATCCACTTATTTGATACTGACAAAGTATCATCCACTTTTCTCAGATGAAACATGTGAGGCACAGCCTAAGATACCAACTCTGGATCTCACAAAATAGAAGTGACAATACTAGGATTCAAACCCAGGGAGGACAGCTCACCTGATTTCAGAGACAGGGCTTTAATCCTGCCTCTCTGTCTGAAGACATTCTTAATCTGTCTGTGCATAAGACATATTTGGTAGTACGTAGGCCTCCTTAATTTATTCCAGAAATTTGTGCCCGTCACTAACAGGAATATGTTCAAGTTTTGGCTCCTAAGTGGCAGAGCCAGGATTCAAGCCCAGGCTGTCGGCTCTTGAGCCTGTTTTCTACACCAAGTTGCTATTCAGTGACTTTTCTTCGCCCCCTAGTTAAAGTCCAAACCTTTGACCTACAAAAAATATTAACCTCCTATATATTAGTACACAGGTCCTTCAAAATCTAGTTTGGCCCCAATCTACTATTTTCATTATATACAAATGTGAAGAAGATGGGGGGAAATGGTAAAATGGAATAGTAAATTAATAAGATAAGCAATGGTAGTATTTGATTTTCATTTTGATAGTACAGAGTCTAAGTAAGACAAGTGAAATGTTCTGGGAACTTGTGTATTAACTGTTTGCCCTCTGATTAATCTCCCTAATCTCACTTAGAGTGACTTACAGATAGTCATTGGCAATTCAGCAGAGTATCATAGTAGTAATGATGACAAGATTAGGAAGGTGGAATGATGAAGTTTGTGTGGTTACTGTTCTGTTCATTGAACTATTTTTCCTATGTTCTCAGAACAAGAAAAATAGATATAATTTCTATCAGACAGTGGAAAACTGGGGAGAGTGGTGGGGGAGGGGATTATTTTGTGCTTTAGGATATTGTTAACTCCCTCAAATATCAAAATTGGCTGTTTTTGATTAGAAATTTTCCACCTCTTTTGGATAATAGCATGAAGGCACTAATGAATATAATACTAAAGAGTATTAGCAGTTTTAAGAAGTTCAGTAGTTAGTGAGCTGTCATGTAAAGCCAGGAATTGGTTGTATTAATTAGTTGATTGATTTCAGTTTATGTTTCATTCATTGTATACTCACATATATATTTAAAGTTGCTAACATAATAGAAATAGAATTCTTTGCTTTTTACACTAGGAAGAACATGGGAGCAGCAGAGCTCAGTGATAGTGAACCTGACCTCTGTTTTATCTAATAGCTCTGTAACCTTAAACAAGTCACTTGACCAAAGTGTCAGTTTTCTAATGTATTTCTGATCTAATAATTGTATCCAGCTCACAGTATTGGTGTAAGGATTAAATGAGGCAATCCGTGTAAAACATTCCAGTGCCCAGATCATAAGAGCCCAGTTGAAAGTTGTCTGGTTGTGTGACTGTGTCTTCCAGGAGACCTTACACTTAGCTTGCATTGTTATTTAAGAGTCAGAGCCATTGTATTTATATCTCCTTTGTTATCACTGTTTATTGCCTGGATAATGATATTTACTGTTTTCTCTGTCCTCTTAAATGATCTCAATTTAGTTATAAGGTTTTGTTCTTTGCTAACTCATTTGTTTACACAGCAAACCTGCTGGGGCAGCCACTGTGTTGGGACTTCCTTGGTGGCCACATATAGGATGATGTCTCAATAAGTTCATGTTCTTTTTCCAGGGAATCTAAACTACTTGCAAATAGGTCTGATTAGTTGATTTTTCTAGTCAGTGATTTATTGCATAGTCTCTGCAATCCCAAGATACTATCTTTAAAGTTTATTCCCACATGTACAAAAATTGTTTTCACACTCTAAGATCAGTGACTTAGTACTTTAATTTGCTGAATCTTTTTTAAAAAATATTTATTTATTTATCTATTTATTTATTTATTTATTTATTTATGCATACAAGAGTGGGAGTACAGTCCAGAGGTGTGGGGCGGTGAGAGGATTCACCAGAGACACAGAGTGGGGAACAGAGCAGGCAGATTGACTGAAGGGGAGCAGCGGACCAGTCAGGAGAGGCCTGCTGCGCCATGTGGGTTGCTCTGCCCCTGGCCAGCGGGGGGTGGAACTTGTGCTGCAGAGGCTGTGGACAGCTTCATAGGTTGCATCTTAACCCCTTGCACCACCAGGGAGGCCCCTAATTTACTAAATCTTAAGTGTAATGATATAGTTACTTTTCCAACATTTTGTTATGGAAGATGAAAGAATTTTATAGTGACTGTCCATATGCCCAACACCTAGATTCTACTTCAGCATTTTACTCGTTATATATATTCATTTATATTTTCATATATGTGTGTGTGTGTGTGTGTGTGTATCACCTACCACTGTTTTGTTCTTCCGTCAGTTCATCTTTGGGGGATGGGGTAGAGTATACTTCAAAGGAGTTCTTTATATATCTGGGTAGCCGTCTTTGTCAGGTATGTTTTGTGAATACTGTCTTCTAGTCAGTATTTGTCATTTCAATTTCTTACCAGGGCCTTAGATGAGCAGAAGTTTTTAATTTTTGTGAAGTCTAATTTCCATCCTATTGAAGTTGACTTTTCAAGTTTATTTTAGGAGAAATAAATCCCAGATTTCTATAACAATCACAATAATTCTGTTCTACTTACTGAATACTTCAGTATTTTCACATGTCACTTTTTTTATCCAAGTTCTTTTCTCCACTTCAACCAAGACTTACTACAAAAAGAAAGGAGTGTTCTGCACAGAATTTCCCCCCAATAATTAGGATGAAATGTTCTCCATGTCTTTCTTCCCATTTAGATTTGCATGTGGTGGACATGTACCAATTAGATGAGCAATTGATAGACAAAGACAAATATGTAATTTTTCCTTTGTTTAGGTTTAACTCTTCTATGAAACATTGAACATAAACAAATCTCCACAGTTGTCTTTTTTACTTTTAATTCAAACTCCTCCATCTGTGACATATAATGTGTGTCAGAGCGCTATTGTGTTTTCTTGAAATCAGAGCGTGAGAGAAACTAATTCAAGTTAACAATTGATTAATCATAAACAAGCTTTCATACTTCAGTGGGAAGATATTCTCTCTGATTACTATAAAATAGAATGTTCATGCAAAATTGATCCATTTTAAGTTCTATTGAGGGTATTGAACAAGGTAACTGTGATGTTTCTCTAGTTCCATGTGCTGGACCCTATTGTTAGTTTCAGGCATGGTTTTTTTAGTATACTTTAACATCTTAATTATGGTAATATACATATATAGTAGAAAGTAAGTACAAGTTTCTTATACCTTTTTTTTTTAACCTTTCAAACAGAAAGATGTATTCCAATTAAAAGACATAGAGAAGATTGCTCCCAAAGAGAAAGGCATTAGTAAGTATCAAAGATGTGCTGGGATATCTCGGGAAATGGGAAATCATTCACCATTAACAGCCTGTAACATTCCCCTGTAACAGCCTCTCACTTTAGAGAAACAGAAATTTCTAGAGATGAGTAATGTTTGCAACAGTCCCTATGTAATTTCTTTGTGTCACAGACACGATTCTTCTGTTTGGAGAATCTGCTCTGGAAAAACTAAAGTGGAATATGCATGCATCTGCGTACATGCACGTACACACACACATTGTGCCCAAGTTTATTTGTGAGTATAATTTATATCAAAAGGAGTAAAAACTGTTTATGCTTGGTCTAGTATTTGTTAAATATGATCTCGTGTCTTTACATAGTATATTAGTTTTTTAAGATTGTTTTAGTTATTTACCTTATACTTGGGGGTTTAACACAATAGAGATGCATTCTCTCATAGTGGCCAAAAGTTTGACATCCAGTTGTTGGCAGAGTTGTTTGTTTCCAGAGGCTCTAAAGGAAAATCCATTCCTTCCTCTTCTCCTCGCTTCTGGTGATGGCCAGCAGTGCCTGGCTTGTAGACACATCATTCTGATGTCTGCCTCTGTCTCCACACGGCCCTGCCCTTTGTTTTCTCCCCTCTGTCAATGATACCCACCATTGGATTTGGGACCCACCCTAAATTCAGCATGATTTCCTAGTGCGATCCTTGATTACCAGTGTATAAGCCTTTTTTTCCAAATAAACTCACATTCACAAGTTCTAGGGGCTCTCTTTCTGATTGTGAAATATATATACATACATATATATATACATACATACATACATATATATATATATATAGAGAGAGAGAGAGAGACAAGAAAATATCTTACCAGATTTGGAAATTATAAAGAATACAAGGAAAATCAAAGTTGTGCATAACCCTGTATTCTGAGAGCACCACTGTTAACAGTCTGTTCATCCCTCTGAGAGGAACTGTTGTTGCATGCGGTGTTTTGTGTTCATGTATTTTTTTGTAAAATTATATATCTTCCACATTCACTCGTGTCATTTGCTTTTAAAAATTGATGTGCAACATTGCCTCTCTTAATGATTAATTCTGTGACCACCCACGATACCACAATTTGCTTAGCTCATTACTTATTGTTGAACAGCTAGCTTGTTTCTAAATTTTGCTGCTAAATTTAATGTATAATTAGCATTCTATTCATAATTTTTTCCCTAAAAGACTCATTTTTAGAACAGTTTTAGGTCCCTAGCAGAGTTGAGAGGAATGACAGATTTCTTCCATGATCTCTGCCCCCACACATGCGCAGTTTGCCCATCTCCACGCACCAGTGCATGTCTGTCACAGGTTGTGACCTACACTCCTGGGTACACCATCATCATTGCCCAAGTCCATGGTCCACATTGTGGCTTCCTCTTACAGCCTCAGACAAGTGTGTAGTAACATGGGCCCATCACTGCAATATCAGACAGGATTTTCACTGCCAAAAAAATCCTCTGTACTCCACCTGTCATTCCTACCTCACCCCCTCATGAATTTTCTTCTGCATCTCATATTACTTCATTAGGAATTGTCTCTAGAGGTAGAATGCAAAACAGACCTATGCAGTTATTAAGCTCTTTATATGTGTTCTCAAATTGCCTTTGGAAAAGACTGTACCAAATTATACTCACATTCATTTCTCAGGACTGTATTTTTGTTTTTAAAATTACATTTTATTAAAGATTGTACTTTTCATGAAAGATTGTACTTCTTTACAAGTTTAGGTTGAATGTTTTGCATACTTAGTGTCAAGATTCCTTTTTCATTAAATCTTTAATTTTGCAATAGGTTATATCTGGGGATAAAAAACTTTTTGACTAATTTTTAATTATACTCTTAATCATAACATTTAACTTTATAGTTTAATTTCTCCTGATCATTTTAAACCTATTCTTAGCAAAAAAGGTAACACATGTTCATTGTTGGAAAAAAGGAAAATGAACAGAAAACAGGAGATAAAAATCGCCTTTTACCTACCATCCAAAGATAACCACCGTCTCTTAGTGAATACTGTCGTTTATTTATTTATTTATTTATTTTTAATAATGCTTTTTTTCTTTTCTTTTTTTAAGATTCATTTATTTATTTATTTATACATGCACTGGGTATAGTCAGAAGAGCGGGAGGGTGAGAGAATTCACCAGAGCCAGAGCAGGGAGCAGAACAGGCAGAAGGACCGAAGTACACTGCTGAGGGGAGCAGCGGGCGGCAGGAGAGGTCTGCACGCCATGTGGGACCCTCCTCTGGTGGCCGGGGAGCAACTGGGGATCGAACCGGTGCTGCAGAGGCTGTGGGCAGCCTCGCAACCCAGCGCTCAACCACTGCGCCACCGGGGAGGCCCTATAGTTTATTTTTGTGTATGACACACTCTGTATAATCCATTTTGAGTGAACATATATCTATGCCATTAAATATTTTATAACACAATTTTAGCAGTTGTATAATATCCCATCAGTAAAATTCTTCTAAAAGTACAGTCATACACTGCTCTTCAGTCTTTGCTATTGAAAGCCATGTTACAACAAGCCTCCTCAAGCATACCCATCATTTTCCTTCGTTGAATTTACAAAAGTGGAGTTTCTGCATAAAAGTCATGCGTGAATCTAAAGTAGTAGATACATGTTGCCATTTTTTTCCACCCATGTTGAGAGAACCCATTTCCCTGAATTCTTTATTATATCTGTTAGTGCTTTTAATTTCGTAGTCAAGAAATCATATATCATTGCTTTATTTTGCATTTCTCCAGCTATTTGTGGGATTGAATATCATCTTGTTTATTGAGCATGCACATTTTGTAGAAGCTGTTGGTAGACTTACTATTTCTTTGTCAGACTATTTGTCCTTTCTTGGTTATTATTTTTAAAAAACTGTTTATTAACTTTTTAACTCTTGAGCTGGAAATGTGTCCCCAGTTACTCCCCTTTTAGTTTATTTACGATGTTTTAATAGAGTTTTAAAAATGATCTCTCCTAGCTGCTATGTCAGTCAAAGAAGTCCTCCAGAGCCTGGTCGATGACAGCATGGTGGACTGTGAGAGGATCGGAACATCCAATTACTATTGGGCTTTCCCAAGTAAAGCTCTTCACGCACGGAAGAGGAAGTTGGAAGTTCTGGAATCTCAGGTAAACAACCACAGTTAGGATTAAGTAAATGTGTTTTACTTAATCCTATTTTCATTTAATGGTTTCTGTTAAAATTTTAACATGTATTATTTGACTCAAAGTCTAAAGATAATCAACACCTCTATCCTCCCAAACAATGCAAGGACCTTAGAATATTTTCACTTTCATCTCCCTATATGCCATGATATTGTTTTTTATTTCCTTTTTTAATATTATTAATAGATGTTTGTTTCCTCTGGGCACTAATTTTAGGCTTGCAGAAATACCGCAAGCCAATACTTCTCCACAAACACAATTTTCCCCATTATTTATTATGTCTTGTAGTAGTGTGGATGGTTTGTTACAATTGATGCACTAATATAGATAACTTATTATTAACTAAGCCGCATAGTTTACATGAGGGTTCACCTTTCTTTTGTACATTCTGTGGATTTTGACAAATCCAGCAGTGTCCTGTGTCCACCATTCCAGTGGCACACAGTATAGCTTGACTGCCCTAAACATCCCTGGGCTCCACTTACCCTTTCCCTCTCCCCCAGCTTCTGGCTACTACTGACTTTTTTATTGTCACCATCGTTTTTCCTTTTCCAGAATTATGGTTGGAATCAAACTTTCAGGTTGGCTTCTTTGATTTAACAATATGCATTTAAGTTTCCTCCATGTCATTTTGTGATTTAATAGCTTATTTATTTTTATTGTTGAATCATATTCCATTCTGTAGTTGCACCACACTTTATTAACTTATTCGGCTATGAAGAAAATCTTCATTGCTTCCAAGAAATATGCATCAAATTTTTATCAACTATGTTTTATCCTTTTGTAAGACTGATAGAGTGAATTATCACATGCAGTTTAACAAATAAGCAGGAAATGGAACTTCAGGGGAAGGGGCTATGGACTTGTTTTGGGGTGCGGGGAGGAAATTTCTCTGGAAGATAAATTGGAAAAGGTCATCAAAAATAGTAAAATAAGTGAATTTCTTTCTGCTTGGAAGTTATGTGAGATGGCATCTCTTCACAAGAAAATCTTCAAACAGCACTTTTTTAAATGGGTTTAAGAAGGATCAAGTTTGTACAGAGGCTTCTTTCAGTCAGTGTTCTTAAATTACAAGCAACTGTAATTTGCTTGTAACAGACTGACATTAGCCGAAAAGGGATTTACTGAAAGGTATAGAGTAGAATTGTAGAATCCCTGATAAGGCTAGACATCTGGTTCTAAAAGTGGGCAACAACTGGGGGAAGGTGGGAAGCAGCCAGACCATAGCCTGAATCACACTGGCTGGCGCGGACACCGCTGCCCAGGGCCCTGGACACGGCTGCCTGCTGCTCTGGAATTGCTGACCTGAAATGGTTCCACTGACATTCCTGGCCCTGGCTTAACAACCAGATGTTGCTGCCACCAAAAAGAATAACAGACAAACAAAAAACTTCTGTCTCAACTACCAGCCACAATTCTGGGAGTGCATTTGATTGGCCAATGCTGAGTCATGAGCCTGCATCCTAGTTGCCAGGGAAGCTGGGAGTAAATAATTGAGGGATCCAGTTTCTATGGTGGGAGACAGCTCTTGGCACCAGCAGTCCTCAAAATAGGAAGGGGGCTTCTCTGCTGAGTGGCACTCCCTTCCCTCCTGTGGTTGATTGATATCCACAAAATACATCAAGCATCCTCCTCAAGCTGCCATAGATTTTTGTATTCTTGCCCTTCTTTAACCTCCTGTAATAATTTTGGTTTCACCATAACAGAAATGTAATGCTTTGACACATACTGCTGGTTGGGTATCAAATAAATATTGCCCCCTTCTTTACTAACCAGACACTTTGTTGAGAGAATAGTGTGTCTTACTCAAAAATGCTCCTCTTCCCAGACTCCTTTGCAACTAAGAAGGGTGAAGGGAAACAGTTCTGATGAATGAAATGTAAGTAAAATACAGACTTCAAGGCTTTGGGGAAAGTTTTTACTTTTTTTTAAGATTTATTTTTATTTATGCATACAAGAACTGGGGTGCAGGCCAGAGGTATGGGGGAGTGGTGAGAGGATTCCCCAGAGACAGAGTGGGGAGCCAAACAGGCAGACTGACTGAAACACACTGCTGAGGGGAGCAGCAGGCAAGACAGGGGAGGTCTGCTCCATCATGTGGGTTAGCTCCCTGGCCAAGGATTGAAGTCAGGCTGCAGTGGCTGGTGATAGCTTGGCTGTGCTGAGAGTATATAACCCCTACTCCACCAGGGAGGCCCCTAGTTTTCACTTTCTTAAGAGACAAAGCCCCTTCTTCTTTTCTCTGATGTGAACATAACATATGATGCCCTACTGTAACAAGCATTATGATGAAGACCTGAGTTCTCTCTGGTCTCAAAAGGACTGTCTTACCTGTGGATTTCATATTACATAAGGAAATAAAGTCCCGGTTCAATCAAGTTTTAGTCAGATGTCTGTCACTTGAGCTGAATATATTCTGTGTAGATAAAATTGCCTTGCAGACTTTCTTTTATACACATGTGAGTTTGATCTTGCATTAGTTGTCTATTGCTGTATAACAAAACTGTGTACCCCAGAATGTCATGGCTAAAGAAGAAATATTGACAGCTCACAGTTTCCAGCATCAGTGATCTAGGCGTGGCTTTTTGGGTTCCTCTCGCTCAGTCTCACATGAGGTTGTAGTCAGACTGCTGATCAGGGCTGCATTCTCATCAGAAGGCTCATCTGGGGAAGGGTTTACTTCTGAACTAAGTCCTTTGATTATTGGATTTAGTTCCTTGCAGGCTACTAGGCTAAGGTCTTCAGTTCCTTGAAGGCTGTTGAACTCAGAGCCTTAATTCCTTGATAGCTTTTAGAAGAGGCCTCCTTGTTCCTTCTCTTACGGGTATCTCCACAGCTCACAATATAGCAGCTGCCTTACCTCAGAACAAGTATATGTGAAGAGTCCAAGACAGAAGCCATGGGTATTTTGCAATTTAATTTTGAGGTGCTCTTGCATCACCTCTGCTGCGTTTTGTTCCCTAGAGACAAGTCATTAAATCCAGCATGTACTCAAGAAGAGATTGGGCATGGGTGTAAGTACCAAGAAATAGGGTCATGGGGGCCTTTGTAGACAATACATACAATTTTTTTACTCCTTTCACTTTTTGTGTATGTTCTTTCTTTTCAATTAATTTTTAAATAACTTTATTGAGGAATAATTAGCATATAAAAATTGCTCATTTTTAAGCTGTATAATTTTATAAGTTTTGACATGTATACATTCATCAAATCATCATTACAATCAAGACTTTGAGCATACCTTTCAACCCTAAAAGTGTTTCATGTCTCTCTCCTGTCCATTTCTGCTCCCTGACCCCATCCTGAGGCAACTGCTGATTTCTGTCACTACATATTAGTTCATGTTGCCTAGAATTTCATATAAATGAAATCATGCAGTATGTACTTTTTTTCTTTTTTTCTCAGCATAATGATTTTACGATTTAGCCATATTTGGTCTGTGTTCATTTGTTTTTGTTTTTATTGCTGAGTGGTATTCCATAGCATGGGTATAGGACAGTTCGTTTGTTGATGGACATTTGGATTTTTTGTTTGTTTTATTTTGGGACTATTAGAAATAAAGCTGCTGTGAATATTTGTGTACGAGTCTGTGGATGGACATATGGTTTCATTTATATGGGGTAAGTACCTAGGAATGGATGGTTGGATCAATGGTAAGGATATGTTTGGCTTTTTAAGAGGTCACCAAACTGTTTTTGAATGGCTCATGAAGGTTCCAGCCCCTCCGCAGCTTCATGAGTACTGGGTGCAATGCCCATTCTAAGAACTATAGAGTGACAGAGTGACAGCTTATTGTGTTTTCATTTCCATGTCCCCAGTGACTAATCACATTGAACATCTTTGAATATGCTCATCACTCATATATCTTCACTGATGAGGTGTCTGTATAATCTTTTGCCTTTGATTGGAGTATTGTTTTGTTGAATTTAGACAGTTCTGGGTATACATCCTATGTCAGATAAATGTCTAAATACTTTCTCCCAGAAATAAATGAAGAGTGAGATTTGATATGTCATATATAAAAGGTTGTTAACTCTTGACACTTGATAATTATCTTCAAGGGATTCAAGTGAAAGAAAAGCCAATTTAGTGCTACTTCACTGATCTAACCCTGCTTTATTTTTGCTGAAATTTTAATCTCAATGTCATCATGATACACTTCCCCATGGTTCTGCATCGAGCATCACAATTTGAAGCAACATGAGTTAATGGGAAAAGAAGTAGTTAGAACTCACACATGGATTGGGATCACATCTTCACTTTTTTCTAGCAGTAGGATCTTGGGGAAATATTTTTTTTTAAGATTTATTTATACAAGAACTGGGGTATAGGCCAGAGGCGTGGGAAGATGAGAGGATTCACCAGAGACAGAGCGAATGCAGAACAGGCAGAAGGATCGAAGAACACTACTGAGGGGAGCAGTGGATGAGACAGGAGAGGTCTGCTGTGCCATGTGGGAATCTCCCTGGCCGGTCGGGAATTGAACCGGTGCTGCAGAGGCTGCAGACAGCTTCACAGCAAGGCGCTCAACCCTCTGCACCACCGGGGAGATCCGAAAAAAAAAAAATTTTTTTTAATCCTTAAAACCTCAATCTCCTAATTTCTAAGAGAGATTATACTTACTTCACAGGGTGTGGTGTAGATTAAGTGATTGGTGTGAAGTGCCTGGTGCACATAGGTGTTCAACAGATGGTAGCCACGGACCCAGCCATGTTAGTATTCACCCTGGAGTCTATAGTGTAATCTTATTTGTTCAGTCAGAACAAATATTTGAGGGAATACTATGTGCATTTATCAGACACTGGAGGTAGTTTGAAAGTGGAGAAGTCAAGGTTCATGCTTCATGGGAAAGAACTGGAAGCATACATCAATATTAAGATACATACACACAAGAGTGAAATGAAGAGAGAAAAGTGTGAGTGGCTAATAGCCTGCATGAATGGTGGAGAATAAAGATATTGTAA